TTTGTATAAGGAGCCTTCTCTGGAGAGAGTAGAGAGATGCATTACTCTATAGGCATAACAATAAGTCATTAAGAGTAAGTTTAATATGATAACTATTTAATAGAAAATTAGTATTAGTTTATCCCCTAGGAAGGGTTAAATGCATGGAGAATGGAAGAACATGGCAAAGGAGGGAATATAAGGAAGAATAACTAACACTAATGGACTAAAGGTCTTTAGAAAAAGCCATATGGAAACTGATCATCATAGAAGGTTCTTGAAGTATATACATATACATCATACAGATTAAAAGGTGTTATCCTGTAACAGGTGGACATTGCTCTTTCTAGACATGATAGGCAATGAAAAATCCTTAATGATAAGAATGGACTCCTTTCTAGAAGTTGTTGACCAGGGGTCCACAGACCCTCAAAAAATACTGGTTATTGCCTCTGTTTTTGGTTAGTCACCAGAATTGGATGGTAAGATCCTATTGCTAAAGACACTAAATACATGAGCTATAGAACAAATAAAGAGGAATCGAGCTGATTCTGTGTCTCCCAATTGGCTGGTTCCTCCAATGGGTGGGGCCTGACACAGTGCATGGACTAGAAAGGGGCTGCTGGGGGCCATCTTGGGACAGAAGCCATGAGCCGGTAGTGCTTGTGGTGTGGGGGACTGCAGCCAGCCACTCAGCAGCTGAAGGACAGAATGGACTGACTCTTGTGGCCCCAGAGGCAGAGGCATGAGCGAATGCTGGTGGTGACTATGGGCATGGCAAGGTCTGATGAGGCGGGTGTGGCATGGTCTGATAAGGTGGGCTCTGAGTCCCGGCATGGGCCTAGGCACTGGGTACTCATTCCTTTGTAAGTTAATAAACTCACATAAAATATATTACATGGTTTGTCTGATCATGCAGGAGACCCAGAGGGAATTCAGACTACATGCTGACTTCAGAGCCTTCTCTCTATTGGCTTTCATTCATAGTGCTGGAAAGTGCTATGCAAGTTACTGGAAGGAGAAAATAATCATCATCCTTACCCACAGTGAATCTTGTGAACTACAGTAAAAACTGGCCTGGCAAGATATGCCCACTGGTACAATAGTGGCCCAAAGAGAACGGGAGTAACTAGCTACTCTTTGAATTTAAGTTCCACTTCCTAGGATGGAACCCATACCTGACATTGATATTGGACTTAGGGACCTGAGGCTGAATAAGTCACAGCTCACAGCAGAAAACCCAATACTTGTTTGTTTTATGAGACAGAATCTCCTATTTTCCCAGCTGGCCTGGAACTAGGTATGTAGATGGGACTGACCTCTACCTCATACAGATTCACCTATTTCTGCCTCCCAAGTTCTAGAGTTAAATGTGTATGACCACACCGTGATATTCTCCATATTACTCTGTGATTCTAGGTTTTTGTAGGAAACTAGGATGCCAGGCCCTAGGGTAAGATGAGCCTAAAATCTGTAAGTCCAGGCTACATTCTCTGCTAAAGGGAGGGGCACTGGAAACAGTAGCTCTGATAATCCCTGTCCTGCAGAACACTGCTAGACTGGCAGGAGGAAGCAGTCCTGTTATAAAAGTGCAGGCTCCCTGCTCTGTGGGAAAGCATCTTGGTCAACAACTCTTAGCTCATCTCCTTGTCCTGAACAAATAACAGCTATCTTTGGCTAAGAGATTAGGTCAGGTTAAAGGTTTACTCCTGAGCTAAAAGGTAGAAGTTTACCATGCTTCTAACTCTCAGAAAGAAAACACTGTGGCCAATAAATTACCGGATGGGCATTGATAATTTTGAGTAAAATCTTCTGGTGCCAATTAACAGACTATATGCCTTGTTTCTTTGTAAGCTAAATCTTTGTATGTAACTGCCATATCTCACATGAGTGTCAGTTCCTTGGGATGTATAAAAACCATTGGAACTTTGAAATAAACAGTTTGTTGAAAAGACACAAGTCCCAGGTTCCAAGACTCTGTCGCTGATCAAGTCTCTCAGCCCCAAAGCCAGTAGGTCCCTCTCAGAGCAAAGCAAACCTGAGTCCCGACAGGTTTTGTCTTTTTATAGTGTTCCAGAGTTCCTACAAGTTTTGTTCTTGGATTTTCTGTAGATTTAGGATTCTCTTTGACCGACTGATCCAATTCCTCTAAGTTGTCTTCAAGTCTTCTATTCCCCATTTCACTTGATTCATTCTGTTGGTAAGGCTTTCCACTGAGTTTAAGTTTTATTTTTTATTGAATGAATTTTTGTGATTTTCATACAATACAGTTTGACGGTATTTAGATCTCCTCCCCTATCTGCACATCCGCCCCCACTGCCCCCTGCCCAATTTAATGTAATCAAATATATATACCACCGAGTCTGATTTGTATCCCCAAATGTCCTTCAGTATAGGTCCATCCATTGAGCCCATCAAGAGTTCCATCCCTATAACACACTGTCCCCTTCACAGCAAACATCAGTTGCCAAAACTTCCTTAGGCTGGGCTGGGATTTCTTACCCACTTCCTCATGTCTATGCTGGGATTTGGTCTGGTTTGAGCTTGCATTGGACTTGTGCATGCTGTCACCATTGTTGTGAGTTCATATGAGTAGCTGAACAGCTGTCTGGAAGACTGTTTCCTTATGGTCATCCACCCCATGAGTATATATCCTGATGTAACCGCAAGAACCAGGAAAATGGAAAGGAACCATGGGGATAAAGGGGAAGAAGGAGATTGAGAGAGGGAGGTAGGAGGAGACAGGTGTTATTATGGGGGAAATGGGAAAAGGGAGGTGCTTTAGCTGGAAAGGGAGTAGTGAGAGTCCACTGAGTTTTTTATTTCCCTGGCCGAGATGCTCATTTTTTTATTAAGTTCTACTTTCATATATTGTTTTATTTCATTCAATGGCTTTTTTGTGTTACTGTGGTCTTTGTTCCTGAATTTATACGTACATCTTTGCATTCCTTCAATATTTTCATAATTGCTACTTCGGAATCGTTGTGCATCAACTAAGTTGCTTTCCTCAGTGAACATTATGAAGGGCACTATTTTATGGAGGAGACATATTGTCTTGGTTACTCATGGTGTTTGTGTTTTTGTGTTTTTGTGACGCATCTGGAATTAGATTGTTAGTGGTTTTTCTTGGTATGGATAGCTGGTCTTACCTTTGTTGAGTGGGTATTTTTTGTTTGCTGTTTCTCCAACTTGTCAGGTTATGGACCAACTGAGTGGTGTTTGGGGTTACATCTTGAGGAAACTTGCTGCTTATGTGTGAATGGGGTATTAGACGTATTCAGTGCAGGCAAAGTTAGATATGCTCCTGAACCCAGGAATAAACCTTCTATATGGCTAGAAGATTTTTGTGACCAATCTTCATAAGTCTGTGGAAAGCTCAGCAGGTTATATAGGTGATGATTGGTTGACAGGGGTTGGGGTCACAGTGGGAGTCAGCCATGTTCCCTTGAGGCCAGACACAGGATATCACACTGACCTCAGGAGGTTAGTGGTGTGAAGTTTAGGTTGAAGGTCCCTACCTGGGGTCAAGGTTACAGGATGTCATGCAGTTCCAGGGCAGAACAGGTGGGGTGTTTGGCAGACAGGATGATGGGCTCTTGGAGAGCCTATCTGTGATTGGGATTGCTGGGGCCACATAGTCCCTGTGTGGCATGGTAGGTAGGGTGTTGTGAACCAAGGGACAGACACTGCAAGTCCATTTTTGACCATTTTTCCGTGAAAAGTTTATGTAATTACAGCAAAATAATGTTACTGTATGCCACCTTGCATCCTTCCAAAATGCCCATTATGCCTAGGAATTGAGACATACCACCTCTAGTCTACTCATAAATTCCAGGCCAAAACCAACTCATGCAAAATGGAAGAATGCCCCAGGCTGCTCTGACATAATCTTGGTGAAATCTCTGCTTCTGTTACTTTTGATCAAATGCCCTTGCTATAAAATTATGTGATAAATATTTTTTCTTATTTTTTGAATTAGTTTACATGGGAATAAATTTCCATATGAGAGTTTCACAAATATTCCATTTGATTGCTTTTTCTGCCTGATCCATCTTTCTGTCCCTCTTTCTTTTGTATATCTTTTACCCTGACCACCCCACTTTCATTTTGCTCAATTTTCTTCTGCACCCCTCCCTTCTTTCCCCAGTTAGATAGGCCCCATTCCAGCTTCCCAGCCTTTACCCGTATTTACTCCTACTTTTATATGCATATGCAGCAATTAGAGTTTAAGATTCTCACACAAGAAAACGTAAAGTCTTTCTGATTGGGTTATCTTGCATAAAATAACGTTTTCCAGTTCCATCCTTTATTCATCACAGATGAGTAAAGTTCCATGGCATATATGCAAAATATAACTACATAAGAGATTGTTTATTAAAGTCCACTCGCATTGACACCTGTATTTTCTGCAAGGCACACTGTCAGTGTTTACAGTTTTCTAGTTTTGTGACATTCTCATTGGATAGACTTGATGACAATAATATTTTCATTAAGCTTTAAGTATTATCTGACTTCAGTTTGTGTTAGGAGATAGACATCTAAACTAATAGAACGTAGTAGAATAGGTAAACAGCTCCTCCTTCTCTTGCATCTGATAGAAGGAAGCCTCGAATACAAATCAAACTCAACACTATCATTATATTCGTCTGTACTATGTCTTTGCTTTGAATGAAGTTATCCTGCTTCTTTTGCCAGTTTTTGAGACTGATTGCTGCTGGGTGAGGGAGAATATGACTTACAAATGACCACTGGATGGGATGACTAGACTCCAGTGGACACATTTACACTGAAGGACATTTGGATATAAACACCTGAATGAATAGGACTCAGCATGTATGGCAGAATGCATAGGGTTCGGGGGGGGGAGTGGGGGAGGCATGGATTGGGGAGGGGGTCTGGATTTGAGTGGGAAATGTATGAAAATTAAAAAGCTCAATAAAAACATGAAAAAAAGAATAGCAAGAGTTGAGCAGTAAAACTGTGAGAACTCTGGCTTCATTAAGAGAATTTGTTGTTTGATATCAATGAGTACAGCAGAGCCTGAAGACACTGATGTAGTGTCTGATGAACACGAAGGGGCAGAGCGCTGGGAAGCATGCAGCCATGGCTACACTAGCACTAACCAGCCACTTACTGGTTCCATTAACAAAAGTCAAACACATTGTTAAGATGGCAGAAGTTGTGTAAAAGAGCACAAAACTGCTCACGAGGATAAGGACGGTTTGGGTGGCTCTGCTTTCAAGGGATGATTTAGTAGACACGGATCTATGGATGTGTCGGACCCTTTGTTTGTGTTTGATCAGGACAAACACCATGGAAACACTGGCCCACAGCATGAGTCCCAAACACATGACATCAGTGGAGGCCAACAGGACTGCATATAATGTGTAGATTAGATAGTTAGGTTTTACCACTGCGCAGTATATAAAATCTGAAAAGCCAGTACGATTTCTTGTATTCCACATGTCTGTCATTACCACAGGAATGAAGCCATTTACCATCAGGTGCAGGACCCAGCACAGGCTCAGGGAGGGACCAATGAACTTGATGATTCTGACTTTGAGCTGTCTGCACTTGGAGTTATTGGGGCTAATCATGATGTACTGAAAGATGCTCAACAGGGATGTGGAACCAAGGGATATTCCCCTGGCAACTCTATGAAAATAAAAGACAAATTTACAAGCAACGTTATCTAGAAAATGTGTCTGACCCAAAGTAGCCATTGTCTGAGGGATTCCTTTACAGAGAAGAACTATGAAGTTGGCCCAGGTCAGGTGTTTGACAATCAGGTCTGTGGGCCTTGCCTTGATCCCAGTGAAGTCAGCAAGGATAAAAGAGAAAAACAAGGTGGAGTTTCCCAGGATTCCTAGTGCAGTCTGGGACAGGAAGATGATTCCCATGACCAAGTCTCCAGCGGCCATTCTGTCATCCTGCTGGGAATGCCACTCAATATCAGATCAAGAAAAATCTTGATGGCATACAGACTTCTTCATGTCATGCCAAATACTGTTCTGAACAACTAGTAGCAATTGGAATATGTATCTTTTTCATAAGAAGTTCCCAAGGTTTCAAAGTGTCTTGGCACTGTGATGAAAGGTAAATTTTAGTTTGCACTTGCTTTGCACTGGCACTTTTCACAATGTTTCACAAATGATACCTGATTTAAATTTCTTGCAGTCCTGTACCTAAAGATCTAATGGTGGCACTATTAAGATTATTCTTTAAAAAAATTAACCGTAGATATGTTACCTAAGACTGGGCATCTCTCAGACGTATATTCTCTGTGTCTGACCAGCTGTGGAATTCTGCAGTAGCCTTCATCTGTTGTAAAAAGAAGCTTCTTTGATAAGCGGTGTATGGTATACTTGTCTGTAAATATAAGGATCCGTATTTAGCATATGGTAAGAAATTTCAGTTGTTTAGAGATGTGGCAGAAATAAGATTTTCTCTAGGCTCTCTGTCCTCTTGTGCCATGTGTATTTGACTGAGTTTACTGTGCCACCATGAGCTCACACCCATTGAGAGGGCTTTAAGTACAATTAGATAGCTGCTTGATTACCCTGAGATAACAGTGCCACCACTGCACCAATAGAGGCAGTTTGCCATGCCAGTCATTACTGTTATTATCATCGAGCACAGGACCCATGCCAACTTAATGAAACAAGCGCCCAGAGAGGAGGAGAAAAATGGGTGGTGGGCCAGCTCTAGACTGAGAACTATTAGAGACTGATTGCTACTGGGTGAGGGAGAGTATGCCTTACATATGATCTCTAGATGGACTGACTAGACTCCAGTGGGTGAATTTACACTGAAGGACATCTGGGTACAAATGCTTAACTGTATAGGACTTAACATATATGAGACCCAGTGGGAGGATGGGGGAGGATGGATGAGGGAGGCGGTCTAAATTTGATTAAGAACTGTTGTATGAAATTACAAGAGCTCAATAAATTTTAAAAAATTTTAAAATTATCTTTCAGTACTTTTAACTATGAGAGAGAGAGAGAGAGAGAGAGAGAGAGAGAGAGAGAGAGAGAGAGAAAACATCTCGCATCATTCCACCATGTGGGTCCTGGGAATTGAACTCAGGGTCAGGCTTGATGACAAGCATTTTTACTCACTGAGTCATCTATTCTGACCCTGTTAAGATGATTCTAACAACAGTACAGATATATCAGGTCCTACCATGGGTAAAAAGACAGTCTTATCAAAACCAAGGCCATCTGGCTTGAAAGAAAATAATAATTATAAGATTATATGAAACAGGGTTGGAAGGATGGCTCAACAGTTAAGAACACTGGTTGTTTTTGCAGAAGACCCGAGTTCGAATCCCAGCACCCACATGACAGCTAACAACTGTCCGTAACTGCAGTTCCAGGGAATCCAACAGCCTCTTCTGACCTCTGAGGGTATTGTATGATACAGGTGCGCTTACCTACATGCAGGCAATACATGCATATACATAAAATAAAAAATAATAAATAAAATATTTTTTAAAAAGATGATATGAAACAAATTATTCATTTCCTTCTTAAAGTATCCCTTATCTAAATTTAAAAATTAATTTTGTTCAGCTTGTTGTTCTTTTCTTTGTTGTATTTTATAAACTTCTCTGTATTTTCAAAATATCTTCTTAATTTCCTGAATATTCTACAGGCCTATATCATGTAGCTATAAACTACAACTATCAAGGCAATAATACTAATCATATGAAATCAATTTTATACAAAAGTTGAACTTAATAAGTGCAAAGAATTGTTCAATATTAGGATGAAAATCCAGAGAATTAAAGTATTAAAGTATTATTATTTAGACCCCCAAAATAGTCACCAACATATTGCATATTGTGTGTGTGCAGGGTATGGTTGCATGTTTCCATTGGCGTGTGTACCAGTTAGAAACTCAAACAGCAGACTTGAGAATATTCAACTCTGACCATATGAAGCTAAATTCAGTATAGTCAGAGAAATCTGATTCATTTAAACTTTGAATCTACAAGTGTCTGATTTTTCTACATTATATGCACAAAATAAGACGATACATTCTCATTACTGCTCCTGCTCTGCAAATCTCGTTGTCCATTTGGCACTAATGTTTCCAGCAGAGAAAACCATTGTCTCCCTCTGCAGCCCAGAGTTAAAGCAGCAGTAATCACAGTTAAGCAAGAATCTCTCGAATCCATTGGACCTGTGCCCACAGCTTGCTAAATTCTGTCAGGTACTACACCACCTCACTGAATAGAGCCCAAGATTTCTCCTAAGAAAAGGAGGAAGAGAGGAATACAGCAAAGCTACCACAAAGCATTTTAGTCACAAAAACACTACCGCCTTCTTACAAGCAGAGAATCTATAGTAATGACCTGGGCAAATAGCTTCAAGGAAATGGGGAGAAGTCTAACAGCCTCTCTCTTTCAGACCCTTTAACCTTGGTGTGTTCTGGTTTCAGGGCTGCTAAGTTCCTCTGTGTATATCTGGCTTCAGCTGGATCCTCTCCCTGAAAGAATGAGATCAGTTCGAAGCAGCATTCACACAGATTTCTGGAGATTATCTTATCTTCTGCAGACTGTAAGAAAGAAATTAAGAATTCACCTGTGAAAATGGGATGCCTCTGTGATGCCAGATGTTGGATGGGGATACAGCAACCAGAGGGACATATAGCATGCCGACATGTAGGAGGGAGTCAATAACATGGTTGATGTGCTGAGAACTCCTCTCCCCCTGTGGTCACAATGATCCACTGTCTGTGTCTGCTGAGGGAGTTGACATCACCCTCCCAAAACACTTCTTTCCATTATTAACTTCAAGAAACTTTTAACTGGTTTGTGACCTGCAGAGGGGTATGCTAAATACCTGGTAGAAATTCTCTCATGAGATTTTAGGGAGTCCAGGGAGGTGGAGCAGAGGGCTTGGATTGTGCAGAAAAGTGAGACTGTGAAAGCAAGCTGTGGCTGGATTCTGCATTCCTAGTTACTCAGTCTCCCCAAAACTTACTGACTTTATAAACTGAAAATGCCCAGACCACGTATAAATATAAAACCCCGACTCAAAAGTTTCAAGTAATTAAGATCCTCCTGTAACAACTTGATAAAAGTGGCAATGACTTGATTTATTAATGGCATTTTCCTTAATATTTGTCACAACCCATGGCAGTAATGTTATGCCAACTTAGGTTTAAATAGAGAAGGTTATACAAGGACTACTGAAAAATCCACATAAGGTTAGCTTACTTTCAGTTAGCAGGGTTTCTTCTCTCTCATGCCAATGACTGTCAATCAGGCACACAAAAACCCTCCTTTTTGTCATGTGAAGCAATATCACTACCTTGTCAACCTTTTTTTGTTGTTTTTATTTATTTATTTTTCCTTTTCTTTTTTCTTTTTTAAATAAATAATTTATTGAGAATTTCATACATGCATATCAGGTGTTTTGATCAAATCCATGTCCACTCCCTCCCCTCCAAGTCCTCCCATACCTTCCCATAACTTTTTTCTGATAACTTCATGTACTCTTTCTTCTTCTTTGATTTTTTTATTGGGCTTTTGACTACTCTAACATTCTCCCCTGTGAAGAGGTAACCATAAAATATTTTAAGAATTAGATACAAGCTCCCAAATACTTTCAATATTTTGGGCTTTTGGAATAGAGTATGTTGCTAAGAGGCCCAAGGACATTTTGACTTTTAGCCAAGAAACTGGCTATTTTTCTTTGGGGCCTTTTTACCCTAACTGCCTAGCCAATTCCTGCCTCCTATTCTTATCACACCGTCCTCTGAAGAGGTTACCCAAATTGCCAATAGGGAATAGGGATGCAGACCGCTCTGGCTTCTTCCATGCTGAACAGGGA